CTCTCTCTCTCTCTCTCTCTCTCTCTCTCTCTCTCTCTCTCTCTCTCTCTCTCTCTCTCGTTTTCTCCCCCTTCACATTTTCATGTACTATATATAGGAGCGCATGCACGCACAGGCGCCACTTATGCCTATACATATACGACATCCTCACTCACTTTCTCACTGACTGGGTAGGGATCGCGACGGATCGAGAAGGTTTACATCCTAATGGGATTTGTATCTCGTTAACGCGCGATCGTTCTGCCCCTCCTATTACGTCGTTCCACAACCGAAAGCCGGTTACGCCCGTGACACTATGTGACGGATACGCGAGACTAGCGCCGCGACGCCCAGCATGTACCTGTGCACACCGTCGACTCGTTTCGTCTGATCGAATCGTCTTACTCGCAATCGTATTACCGCTTCGCGGCTCTTTCATCTTGCTTCGCTTCGTTGCTCCTCTTTACGACGAGCTTCCTCTATGTAGATCGAAATATGAATAAGCTATGCCAACTATGCAGCGCGAAGCCAACTTGACTGAGAGGCACACGCAGAAACCGGAAAGGGAAAGAGAGATAGGAAGAGAATCGTGGCCGATTGACGTGGAGGTTAGGTGCAGGAAACGTGCAGGAAGCGCAATAATTATTAAGGAAGAGATCAGGAGTCTATTTGTCAGCAGAGGACAAACAGCGTCGTCGGGTGATGGGAACTCTGGCCGCTCCGGACTAGGATTGGTTGTAGGTGGCAGCGGGGGCAGGGGACGCGACACACGTGCACGCGTCCTACCTTCCCCTGCTTTGTTTTTGTGTGTGTGGGCTATGACAGCAGAGACTCGGCGGAACGAGGGAAGCCGCCACCACCAGCGTGGAGTCGAGGAGCAGGAGAGGATCATTGTGATGCAGAAGAGGCAATTTTCTGGACGGCTTGGCGAAAGCCGATGCCACGCGATTATCATAATAACCGGGGATATTATTCCGGAAGCAGAGCACTTGACGCCAAATTCAAAGTCGGCGTCGAACTTGACACCGCTGAAACTTTAAAAGATCTATAACTTTGACGTTACTCCACCGCCTCCACCGCCAATCGAAACGGACCTGAGCCAAATCACAGGGCCGACAGTTGCGTGGTTGCGCCGGCAATTAGCTTAGCTACGCCTAAGCAATGCGTAGAGGGCGACAAGTGGGACGAGTGCAACTTCCGCAGCGAGAGTTTCGATTGTGACAGGAAGGTCGATGCAGGAGGGTAGGGTTGGGGTTGCGTGACCAACCGAATAGGAAGAACGGTATACGCAAGGGTGAGACTCAATGGAGTTTTAATAGCTATATCTGCGAACGCAGGCTAAGATGGATGAGCCGGCGTAACGTTTCGATTTTGTCGAACCGATCGATCGCTCATGGGGCAGAGGGGGGG